GTCTCTGCAGTTTGGCTTGGATGGCAGGACCCTTCCCGACGGTAGTGAAGGCTACATCGTCAGCGTAGATGTAGCCTTCTGTGTTCTTGTTGATTTGCTCTCGTCGGTGCTGGCTAGTCTTTTCACCGTAGAGAGCAGGGGGCGTGGCCTAGGCCATCCACTGATTGAGACTGCCAGCGGTTTACGACACGGCTGACATTATCAAGATTAAAGGTCGAAGCAAAATGGGTTTTTGGGTTTCCCTTCAGGAAGACCTTTTTTCCTTATTGAATGCCCCTCGAATAAAACCAAAACCGCCACTTCACGATCATCTCCTGACATTGTCGTGCGTATGACCAGCTCGGGAATGTCCACGTTAGGGCACTGCCCAGGTAATAGCCGACTAACGCGCCTATTTAGATCTAGAGATAGTTTAGTTAAAATCAGTCGAATTGAGTTTTGTCCAGAAATGTTGCATTTGACTTACGAGCAAAACAGCAATTTAGTGCAATATTTATGTTGCACGCTCTATACCTGAAATATGATAAATGCGCTTAAAACCTATGATTCTTAGAATCTTTTTTATTTCTTGTGGCAATATTTTATGTCTCAAAAATAAACTATATTGAGTGAGAACTAAACGCAACTCCACTTAAAAACCCAATAATGTCACAATTAATTTCATATGTAAATTGTAGGAAAACACGTATCTGTGATCATTCCAATAAAAGGAAACTGTCAACAGTTCGTGATCGGTTTGGAAAGGGAGCTTAGTCTAGTAACATGGGATGGAATCTCAGAAAAACCGTCCAAAATTGAAAAAATAGCCGACGTTGATAAAGGAACACAAAATAGAATGAACGACGGAAAGTGTGATGCTAATGGAAGGTTATGGGTAGGTAAGAAAAAGGTTGTAAAATATCATAAATTTGGAATAAATAAATTTTGGAATCTGCTGGTTATCCTTGATCCCATAATCAATTTTCCGTCCATCCCAGAATAATCGTTTATTTTTACTTGCAAACGAGTATTTAGCTAGATAAATTAGCATGTAATTTATTAATTTCATTATTATATTGCTTGAGATCGAGAAAATTTGTTTTTAAATTAACAATGAAGAGTAACGTTATAATTTTTATGAACGACAATTTTATATTTTTATTTAAAAAAGATTGTTTGTTTGTGGTCTCATATATTTTTTCATTTGTTATGTTTAAAATGATTGAAAAGTTTAATTGATTTTAGGTACAATGGGTCCAGAACCTATTAATGGGCATGTTGAACCCGACTTAGGTTCTTTATATTCGTGGAATAAAGGAAAACTGCAACAGCATTTGACAAATCTGGGCGTTTCGAACGGTTTGGCCTGGAGTTCCGATTCAAAGAAATTCTATTTTACAGACACGTTTACGTATAAAGTCGATGAATTTGACTATGATATCGAAAATGGAACGATTTGTAAGTATTTTCTTCGGTTATAAATTCGTAAATTGGTTATGATAGTTAAAATTTAATATCCAATGAGTCTCCTTCTCAATCACTATTATTACTCTACCAAACACATCAATTTAAAACTGGAAAAAATACAAAATTGTATAATTGCAGATACATTTATTTTGAAACCCACCTATTCCTAATCATCCAAAAACAAATATTTCCTAATATTCTAACAAGATTTTTTTCATTTTCAGCAAACCGAAAAACTATTTTTACACCAAACAAGCATGGTATAAAGGGTAGTCCGGACGGTATGACAATCGATGTCGATGGTAACTTATGGATGGCACTGTTTAATGGATATAAAATTGTGAAATTCGACCCCAGAAAACCTGAAACTCTACTTAAAACAATTGATATCCCCGCTAAACAGGTAACGATTCGTCACTTTTGGGATTGACAATCCAAACAAATTTTATTTGCAAAAATATTTTTTTTTATAAACTTCGAAGATTCGACTGTTATAAATTGTATTTTCTGGTCTTGGATGTTCATTTTGTTTAACATTTACAAAATTAGTTGTTCCTTATAGTTAAGTACAGCAATGATGTATTATTTTAATAAAACTGTTTTATTTATAAAGCCCCAAAAAAATCATTTTAAATACATTACATTTGGTCTCAGGTAACTTCTTTAGCTTGGGGAGGTCCCCAGTTAGACATTTTGTATGTTACCACTGCTGGATTTACTGTGGATGGAGAAGTACTACCCCCACCAGATCATGGTGCCACTTACCAAATCACAGGATTAGGCACGAAAGGCTTACCAGCCGCAAGTTGTGTTTTGTAAGAGTTGAGTGCTAAAATTCGTATTTTTATCTACTTTTATTAAATTATGCATTGCATGTACGTGCAATTAAATAGTTTGAAGCGCTAGTCGTTGTAGGAAACATTTCAATAATAACATTGGTTTTACAGGGAAGAAGTTAAGAAGTACACTAAAGTAAAATTTGAAAATAAATTTATCAGTCAAAATCGGTCGAGACATAACGTACCAATAACTTCTTTTGTTTGCGAGAATTATTGCTTACTGTCGAAGGATATTTTTAATTAGAAATAGTCCATATTTTGTAATAAAAATAAGTTTAATAAATTATCGAAACCATTATATGATTGTAAAACACAGGTGACTATATTTTATTGTCTCGTTTTATTTTATCATTATTAAATAATTAAATATTTTAATGTAATGGACAATGTTAAAACATAAAAATGTATTACTAGTTTTTACTTGCTTTTTTACACTCCATTTACTTATGCGTTTGCTTTCAAGCTTAGTACACATGGCACAACATAAGTATTTTTTTTTTGTATAAGAAAGAACAATGAAACTTGAAAAGATTGTTGTAAAAAGCGCGATATAATAATATGTGTAATAAAAATAATAAATTTAAATTGAATTCACTTCAATAGGTTCTGAAGTAAAAGTTGCAGCAGCAAACAACTTTTAAAATGCAAGTACAAAAATAGTAGCACGCGAAAAATTAAATTGTTTGAAAGTTTAGATATAAGAATAATATAACTAACAATGAGGAATATAAAACGTGAATACAAATAGCCTCTGAGGTAAGTGCTATTTATAGAAGTTCAAAGAATTTAACATAATTTTGCAAAATACGTAGTAAGGTTTTAAAGTTGCCTTTATCTTTATTGAATATTAAAATAGTGGCCGCTAAAGTAAATAGTGAATTATCAACCAGCATTTACAAACGTTTACTGGTTTTAAAAGTTATCTTGCGGAACCTAAGAAAAAATTAAATAAATAGTGTTACAGAAAAGAAAGTTCAGCTGAAGATGCAATAATTAAATATTATTATATGTTTGAAATACATACATTACAAACGTATGTAATGTATCAATAATATATATTATATAATATAATAACTAAATGAGCAAACAACTTCGGTTGAAGTTAAGTTGAAAAGTTTAAAAGCAATTCCGAGAAAAGCGAAAAAAGGCGAAACGATAAATTGGAAATGACAGATAAAATCGGATTTTACAACGGATGGTCCACTATGCTTAAAATCAAAATGTAAGTAGTAATAACATTGACAAAATGTAGTATTTGATTTTAAATAAAAAAGTACGAGAAAATGACATCAGAAAAAAGCTCTAAAAATTATTTTTCACTCTTGATCATGAGACTTCCACAGCCTAAATTTTAAAAATTTAAATAATAATTTATAGCAAAATTATCTTGAATTTAATGTTGGAACGACAACTCAAAATCAAATCAAATGAAATAAATCAAATACAAAAATCTGAAATAGATGAGATGGACATTAAGAGCATAATTTTTTTAAGTTAAAAAATATCTCGCTAAAAAAGACTTTGTTTCTCCAAGTTAAGAAAAATGATATCAGGAACTAACCAATTAAGCATCTAAGGAGCTAAATTAAATATTTGGAATGTTGACTTACAGGTTCCGAGGACATTGAATCAGCAGCGCGTAAAAAATAGTCAGAATCTAGCATATGTGCTTTATTCCATTTTAACTGTTTCAGTGTAATGTAACTCAAAATCAGATTTATTGTGATTCTTAAACAAACAAAATATGTAATAGTTATCACACAGTAAATTATGTAATAGTTACTGGCTTGTGATACGAATGTCTTTTTGTGTTAACCTGCTGAGGTCAACCAACAAATCCGGATTGGACTATCAATGCGATTAAGATAACATTGAGTGGAGGGAAAGTTTTTATTATTAACAATTTTAGTCTATTTATAACCTGGACGCTATTCGCATACAACGTGCATACAAGGTTTTGTGTTGTTAGCAGTTGATTGAGTTTCAGGTAAGTTATAATGTTAAAACCATTAACTATTACTAGAAATACTTAATTTTATAATTTTTCTCCATAAATAAATATACTATCCATGCATAAATTTTCTCTGATTACTCGATATATATTTGCAGTTCTATCTGTTGAATATTTGTATATGTTTGTATTACTAACTACCTTGAAAATTATGTTGTTGCTATTACTTTGTAATCAAATAAAAACCCAAATTCCAGCTTTGAATTAAATAAAAAGTCTAACAATTAAAAGGTCCAGTTGGTCCTTCGAGCGGGATGATTGACTTATTTGAAACATGGAGGTGTGTATGACTAAAATAGATATCAGAAAATCTACAGCGCAAAATCAAATATGTTAATATATAAATCTACTCGTAATCAGAAAACGAAAATAATGCACAAATGTTAATAAAATTGATCAATATATTAAATAAAAGATCAGATGAAAATGATGCAAAACTTTTGAATGAGGTATTTAGAAGTTAGAACATTGTCTCTCTATTTACCTTTAAATATCGAATCTAAGCTATTAATCCTAACAACGCGCCAAATGAATAAAAAATCAGAATTAAAGAAGCAGTAAAAATAGCAGTATATTATGTACTATTTGTAGAAATATACTAAATGTTAAAACTAACTTTTAACTATTATTTACTATTGATTATATTAAACAAACACGTTAAAAGTGTACATTTAATGACTAACTCAGAAACACTACTATTTAGTTTCGGAAGATACAAGATACCATTTTTTAGTTTGAGCGTCAATCTTTTTTACCAACAAACCAGCAAACGGTTATTATTTATTATAATTTTTGTTATAAAAATGTTTCCCATGGAGATTCGATTCCATCTCATCTGATGCACAACATCTTCAATATATGCAAATGCATTAAAATTATAATTTTATTGAAATGACCGTGTTTAAGCGGTGTTTAAGCGGTGTTTAAATTAAATTTTGTTTACTTTCTTTGTACATTTTACTCTTATCTGAATATATTTTTCAATATTTTTTACGTTGGTCGTTAGAAATATGTATTTTCGCGTACAATACATCCATACAGTTTCGGTGGAAACATTTTGAATATTTTAAAGCAAAATTTAACGTAATGTAAGATATTTTAAATGTTTTCAGTTATAATTGTTGTGATTGTTGTATGCGTATATTTTTTCATTTATTATCATTCGTTTTAATATCTTTATTTAGGTTAAAAATGTTACTAATAGTTTTTTTGAGTTCAACTCATTTTCGTACTGATTCATGTACTTTTTTAATTAGTTAAAAATATCTCCCTTTTTACTGTGATGAATGTAATTGACTCTGCGTAATTTGTCTTTATTTCTTCAAGGGCTACAATAATGTGAAGAAAATTTATGAAATTGTTTTGATCATTCTCAATGTTTTATTATTAATTAAATTATTTTCGCAAAAACTCATGATGATAGAAACACATTTGTTGGTGGCTTCTAAATAACAAATCATAAGGTTATCGACATTCACATATTTTCGAATGAATCCAAACGGTTTATATTGATAGCAGCTAGTGACTATGTTAATTCCAAATAATTTTACGATTCATAATCGGCTTCAATTAAAGTTGTTTTACTGTGGTTTAAAATGTAATGTGCTTTCAACCATATAGAATAGACTGAAAGATTTCTGGAAGTAATATGGATTTTCTGATATTCAATAAAGCGCAAGATTTGATAATTAATTTAATTTCAAAGAAAATATTGATGTTAAATAAAATACAGATTAAAATTGGGGAGAATAATTTTGAATCGGAATTTTTATTGCTACTAACTTGACAAAATCAGTTAGCTAGTTCACGTACATTAGACACAGATAAAATCCCAAATGACCAAACCTTTTAATAGAGTTAGGGTATATTTCTAGCAGTAACAGTCTGAAAATTTGGATAATAATTTGAACCCAAAAAGACACAAGGAAAAAGTAGAGATAAAATTTGAGGACTGTATTACCTACTGAAATTACATTATTATTACATACAACATTTAATCTCAATTTAAATTACAAAAAAGCATTTTTCTATAGGTAAATTTACAGAATTATGGCACCGAAAATACTACGAGTTGCTGAAATTCCCAACTTAGTGCTAGGAGAAGGCCCGCACTGGGATATTGAAACTCAGAATCTCTATATCGTTGATATATTTGGAAAATCTATACATAAGTTCAATGCTTCAACCGGTCAACACAGCAAAGCAATTTTTGGTAAGCTAAAAGATTTAATTCGAATCCATACCCTAGGGATAAATTCGTTTTTAGACAAACCGGTATCGTTTATCGTACCGGTAAAAGGACAGAGAAATAAATTTGTTATCAGCCTTGAAAGAGAGATTTGCGTTATTACTTGGGATGGTATATCTGAAAGACCATCAAAAATTGAAAAACTTGCGGAAGTTGACCAAGATACCCAAAACCGAATAAACGATGGAAAATGCGACCCACGCGGAAGATTATGGGCTGGTAAAGAAATGAGAATGAGCACAAGAACGAATTACTTAAGTTTTGTTATTTGCAGGAACCATGGGTCCAGAACCTGAACCTGGGCACTTTCAGCCCGAGGCTGGATCTCTATTTTCTCTGGATGGTGGCGAAGTAACTACATTCGCTACTAAAGTGGGAATATCCAATGGGTTGGCGTGGAATACCAAACTCGGAAAGTTTTACTACAACGACAGTCTTGTAAAGAGAGTAGACGAATTTGACTATGATATCAACAGTGGAGTAATCTGTATGTCCATTTTATTTAATCTCTTTCTGTCCAGCTTATTTACGTAATTATTTAGCAAACAGGAAAACAATTTTTACGTTCAGTAAACACGATATCGACGGACTTCCTGATGGAATGACCATTGATGCAGATGGAAATCTTTGGGTTGCAGTGTTTAACGGGAGCAGTGTAATCAAAATCGATCCTAGAAAACCAGAAACTTTACTGGAAACCATCAAAGTACCAGCTAAACAGGTAATTGAATTTGATTTGTTGATACCGAAATTGATTTTGATTCAAAAGAACGTGCAGTGAACAGTAGAAGAGGATTAAATTTTAATACGCCGTTTATGTGGGTTTTGATTGAGTAATTTGGTTATTTGGAATATATTGGACTGGAATAAGTAAAATCAGATTTATCTTCAAATTTTTGTGTGGAATCCCTGCAGACTCTATGCAAAGTTATCTGATTCAAACTAAATCTGGGGATATATTTTCGGCGAGTGAGACTTTATATTAAAAGCTGGTCATCGTGCGCTATAAATGCGGTCTGTATTGTTTCAAACCAGAACCTGCAAAATTTTGACAAGCAAATTACTTGGGAAATATAACTTTTTGCCGAATTTACTCAGTCAGTCAGTCATTTAGTTGGTCAGTTTATTCTCAGTAAAGCACAAAGTGTTCTAAAAAAAGACTGTTTAAGTTTCAACATTTTCTTACTTTTGGTTTTATCCATTTAGCAGTTACATATTTTCAATAAAACTGAATCCAGAAATTTTCGATTCGAGCTATCGGAAAGATTTTAACTACCTACTGATTGAATATATTGAACTCTTCTTTAGATAATTTTTTATATTATCCCTTTCATCCCCTTCTTCTATAAAAAGATGTTCGTAAATGTACGTAAACATAAGGATTTTCTACAAATTCGGCATCGATGAAATTAGAATTGCTTCGAGACTTCAACTTTAAACGCTACAAAAATTTTATATTTTCCTATCACCATAAAATCTTACTGATAAAAAAATAGTTCTTAGGACGTGCTACAGTAAAGGTGATTAGGAGTGAGCCAATATTTTAAATCCTTTTATCTAAGTTCATAGATAGAATTACGATATGGGCCGTCCCCGATAGCATACAAATATTACAGTAATATTTTTTTTGAAATATTTATTGTAGATCAGACGCAACAGATTCTTATATATTTACGAAATATTTCTTTTAAATATTTATTTGACATTTAACTCAGATATTTAAAAAATATATATTTTTTAATATTTATGTGACATTTATATCAGATCTTTAAAAAATATATTTTGTAAATATTTATTTGCCATTTATATTAGATATTCGTTTCATTAATATTAATTAACAATTTTATTAGAATTTTTTTTAATGGCTATTGGGTATTCAGCCAGGTCGATTTTTAAATAGTGCAATATTATGTCAGCTCGATGATACCTTTTTGATCTGCATGTGCACGGCTTGGGATTCGAACCTCGGACCTTCAATTGGTAGTCCGTAGGTCCAACCCCTCGGCCGCCATCCTATCATCCTAATCTTGAGTTATTTTCCTGAGTGTTTCTTCCTAGGTTTCAGTCAAAATGTGAGAAAAATGTTCATATCGTCTAATACCGTTATATGAAATAGATGATATTTTTATTTATTTTCGACAAATTTATTTAATATTTTGTGCTATCTGGGAAAGAAATTTCCTTTCTATTTCTATACTATAAGAAACTTCTCGGCTCACTTAATCGGAGCAGTTCTATTTCCTAGCCAGCTTTTCCGCCTTTTTTCGAAATACGAATGCTTTTAGTGAACTTCGGACTATTGTAAGTTCCGCAGTTCCCTTAAATGTTTCCCATAAAGCCAGCACATTTTCATAATGAGCCCGCTTATAGTAAACTTCTCTGTTATATGTATGCTATATGTAGATATGCACTTAAAAACCTGTCCTGTTCCTTGGATATTGGAAGAGAAAAAATTATATTTTTTCTTGCACAATAGCGTTAATATTAATAAATATGCACAGAAGGAAATCAGTTTCCACGTTAAGGCGACTGTTTGGTTTCGGTTGGAAACTTTACCATTGAGCATTTCTATTGCATATTTAAATTAAAAACTATAAACTTTTAGATACTTTTAATAATAGTACAAAGCATAATTAACATTCGCACCAGCAACGTCATACTAGGAATTTTAATCAAATGTCTTGCCTTCATTCTTTGCATATCATCCGTGTAACTAGTTCAAAAAAATAAGTTTTTCTTGATCCCCTGGTCCTGGTGGAAAGTTTCTTTTCGCCACTGTTTTCGATAGCAAAAGCATCCACTTTACCCATTACAAATTTTCTTCATCGCGTGTGGAAATTAAGAACTTTCACCACGCGCGCTGACAGCTTGGCTTTGTCACTGGCTGCCAGATGATTTCCGAAGCAGTTTTTTTCAAAACTTTATACTTTACGGTCACTTAGAGGTCGGTACAAGAGACTAAAGTCGACGTTCCGCTACTGCTTGAAGTTGTCATGCACGCAGTGGTCGGCTTCCGACTTTCGTCTCGTCGAAAAAATAGAAAATTTGTAAGGGGTAAAAGTGATGCTTTCGACATCGAAAACAGTGGTGAAAGTACGTACTTTCCACCAGGGAATCAAGAAAAATAGTATACGGGACACGAAAGTTGAAGGCCCACCACTGCGTGCATGACTTCAAACAGAAGCGGAACTTGAACCTTCGTCTCCTGTACCGCAATATACTATTAAAGCGTGGTTAAAATCCAAATCATTAAAACTTGCAATTACAGCAGAAAATGTTATCTAGTGTACTTATTTAAAAATAAACAAGTTAGTAAAAACCACCCTTTAAAAGGAATTAATCAACGGATTTTAAACTTGTGAATCGTGGCGAGTTTGTCGACATTTTTAAAATATAATACAAAGTAAAGATTCTTATGGCACTAGGCATCTCTGCTTTATGCTTTAAAAACCCCGCTATAACGGATCGCGTTACATTGCATCCGAACGACTTATTAATAGCCAAATTTACACTAAAAAGGCCACAAGAGAAATAGTTTTCATAGTGCCACATTCGCTCGAAACTAATGCTCTGTTAATGTTTTGTGCTTTGCAGACAACTTCTGTGGCATGGGGAGGTATTGACTTGAATATTTTGTATGTGACCAGTGCTAGTATGACAGTGGATGGAGTGGAGCTTTTACCTCCAAATCATGGAGCTACTTTCCAGATTACCGGCTTAGGCACGAAAGGATTACCAGCAGACAATTTTGTTTCAGAATAATTTATCAATGTGAACTCCCATGAAAGTTTATAATAAATTACAGTTATTTCTCCAATTGCGTGATTTGCATGCTTCAAGTACACTGGTAACATAATTATTTATCGGACAATAATCGGATTGGGAGTGATATTGTTCGACGCGTTTTGAAACGGGGTACAATACAAGAATGAATCAAATTTACACAGTACTTATTTTTTATTTATTTTACAATATTTGCAAAAACAGGCTAATTTTCAACATAATCTCTAGCACTAGCGATACATTTTGTACAGCGAATATCAGCTTTTTAACTCAAAAATCGTACAAACTCTTCGGGAATTCAAGCAGCCACTGAAGCACTTTTCAATTCTTTGATCGTCGTGGAAACATGGGCCTCCAAGATGTAAGTCACCACGTGACAAGTCCGGATTGTAGGAAGGACGCTCCGAAGTTTTCCAGCTCATCTTGTCGATTTTTTCTTGCTGAGTTAAGCTTGGCGTTGTCGTGAAGAACATGTTTGTCTGCTTGCGTCTTTCTCTTCGATATGCCAATTTCCAATTTTGGGCATTAATTGTGAGCGATTGTGCAGAAATCTGACGTAAAAAACACCTTTTGTGGCCGGCCTTAGCCTTAAGCCCATGTCCCATGTATCCGTTTATACGATGATACGAAAGTGTTTCTATTGGTTGGAGATCTTAAAAATAGAAACACTTTCGTATCATCATATGAACGGATCCGAACCAAAAAACAATTAGTCTTTGTAAGACCTTGACTAGAGACTATGTGCAAACTGTGCCTCTCATATTCTTCTGATGAATTAACGGTAATAACTTAATAATTATCTCACTTTCTCTTTAAAGCCCGTGTCCCATGCATCCGTTTGTCCGATGATACGAAAGTGTTTCTATTGGTTGGAGCACTGTCAATTCGTGGGCCGTCGTACGAACTGACAGATCTCCAACCAATAGAAACACTTTCGCACGATCGTATAAACAGATGCATGTTGCACCTACGGACCTGTCGGCGGCTTTAATCGCTCAGGCCACCCAAAAAGCATCGCGCAGGTTTACATTCCATCTGAACTAAAAAAATCAATCTCGTTTGATTTGTCGAAATAAAAAACGAACGAAAACAGCTAAAAACTGCGCTTTGAATTTGACTCAAGATTCACCGATTTCATTTTTTCCAGCTGTTTGACCGAACGCGAAGAAACGACGTCCAAATAAAGGGAAGCGATAATAGAAAAAAAATACAAAATCAACTTTCAACATTTTCTTTATCACGACTTAATCAGTTTAGAGTGCAACATTTTCAGCTTTACCTCAACATCAAAACTAAACTTAATATATTCTTGGTTCAAGAAATTCACTACTATCAAGGAACTCGGCCCAATAGCTTCCAATTCCGACAATAAAAATTCAAATTCCTGTCTGTAAATTATATACCCTATAAATTCTGTTAATAAAGCATTAACATCTGCTACTTCAGACTCGCTGGGATGCAGCAGAATTAAAATTTTACACATGCAGTTAAAAATTACATAAATTAAATCATCGCACTCTTTTGGCACAGCATCAAAATCTACAGTTTGTATGATTAAATAAAAGGCTGAAATGTATTCCATAAAACATGGGCTGACAGGCAATAGATTGAACTCTTTAGAAAAATGCTGAACGATTTTTGAAACAAATGTAAAAAGTTTTGTAGAATTGGTAATTACTAGATTAATCTCAACAATATTATATTTACTGGCATATTCACAGAGATTAGCAACAGCACGCACAAATATTCTGATTATCTTGCTTTGTTCCTGGCACTCCATATCGTCATCAAAAGTGTTGGTCTCTACACTGAAACCGCTATCAAATCCTTCAATCATAGATTCGAGGAGAGAATGTGTCACGTAACATTCACTTAATTTAAAGTCTTCGGTTAGTTGTTCTACAGCTTTGAAAGATTCGCTAATTAACTTGATATTTTGGGAGTTGTTCAATATGAATTGAATGTGATGTTTAAGCACTCGATCCCCAAGCCCATTGATGTAATGCGGCATTGCATAAGCAATCGATTCAAGAAATCGCATTAGCTGAATTAAAATATCTGGATTACTTGTTTCAAACTCTCGTAGTATCATTGTAACTTGCTGTGTTGTTATATTTTTATTATCACAGTCGGCTAAAAGAATATTGGCTAATATTCCTATAAGAATTTCTATCAGTCTTTGCTGCTCGCATGTTTCCAATGCATTTGTGGCTAATGTAGGAAAATCTAATTCAAATAGAAGCTTACAAACATCCAGCTCCAAAGTCATGTCCCAGAGAAAACATAAATCTTCTTCAGTTTTCTCATCGTATTTCAAATTAGAAAACCCTTGTAAGGTGCTGATTACGAAGGACGCACTATAAAGCGTGTCGCCAATCGCATCACCCTTCAGTTTTTGTTTGGTTTCTTCATCCAGATCGGTGGAATTTATATTTGCACTACGGTGCTCATCCATGTTTGCTTCGAATTGTTCAACTAGCAACAATTTAAGAATTTATTTATATAATTCTTTTAATTTAACTAGCAACAATCACAAAGAAAAAACGTGGTAAGAGAACGATATCCCGTTAATCTGAAATAGGAAAATAAGGGCTTTAATAATATTGAACAAACAATATTACTCTAATAGGGTCGTTGCACATTTGTATTTTTTATTTGGTGAAATTGATTAATGACGAACAAATAAGGGTCCTACATTTTTTTTCMTTATTCTGCCTASCCATAACGAATTTATCTGCAATMAAAGTACACAAGGCGCGCCAAAACGACGTGTKTCTGTCTGGGCCTGGGTTCGCTTGTGCGATTGATGCATGCAGCGGTTTGCTGAAATTTTCGTATAATCGTTCGAATGTTTTCAAGGACGGTTGACGACGTTCAAAATAAGTATCAAAATAGTAAGCGGACGCTCCTCTTCTAGCATTTTTATCACAATCTAATGTAGGTTTCATTCATGTGGCGCCTTTCCTGATTGGAATAATTCATTTTTATAATAAAACTAATTTAGATCTCTAAGTTGAATTTAAACTTGAATGTCAAAAATTGAAAGATGTTATTAGTTGTTGCWATGTTTTATACCATTTTCCATGGTTAACTTCGATCAACTAAATTGAAAAACTGTAAATTGTTCGTAGACACTTTATTTTCGAAAAACTCTAACGATCTGATACATCACAGAAACCGTCATAAAATGCTCTATTTGGTAAAGCAATAATGAAGTATGGTTGCCATTTTAAAACTCAAATTTGTGTCATATGTCAAAAATGATGGTTATTTTAGAGAAATGTCATATGCCGCCTCGTTTGAAATTCAATTTCCCACAAGATTTCTATTTAATGTTTTCCTGTCAAATTAATATCAACGGCCAGGAGTAAATTAAAAATTTACCATAAATAAGTTTTTCCCAAACATATCTTGACAGCTGTCAAATTTTAGAAAAATAAAATTGGTTTCGAGTAGAGCATTCAAAACTACAATTCTTTGTCCATTTAACCTTTTTCGTAGCTGCTATAATTTCGAACATAACTGTACTGGTCATCGAAAATACTCACCCTGTATATGTATAAAACAAATTGCTGTTTTTGGTTGATTTTTAAATTTTGCTGTTGGAAGCTTGAATAAATGTCCCGTTGGTGCAGATAAATGTAGACGACTCCTAAAGGCGATTTTTCCCGATTTTGGCAAATCAGGCTTTGTGAAATACGTCGAAATATAAGCGATGTATGTCACAAACTTGTTTTAATTTGACAATTTAATTAATCTCATTATAAATAGTGCTCTTCCGCTTTCCAAATCTCTCAGCTACTGTTTATGCTAACCAGTCTTCCTCGATTAATGTAATTATTCGAGTTTTTCAAATACTTTTGAATGTGTCATTTTGATAATAGGAAAATTTATTTGTCAGTATTATGTCATTTATGCAAAGGTAGATATCGAGGTAGAAAGTTAGTTGTTGTGTAAACAACAGTATTTACATTACAACAGTAAACAACAAGGTATATAATCTTCTACTTTTATGTGACGCCGACGTATATCAATGTCAAAAACGCATAGTTTACCGTCCTTATAGAAAAACAGTGGCCTGTTTGGTTGTATATTACATTTTTCTCATTTATTAAATCATTTTTTTATAGAAAAATTTGATTACATATATGTTCCGATGAGTCTGTTATTCAATGAGCCGTGAGCCGTTCAAATTCAAATATATTCATTATACCTACAGACTCACTTTCTTCTCGAACTTTACGAAAAAGGTTTACCATTTATATGTGAAACTTACATTCTAATAGATGCAGAAAGGCGTATAAATACTAAAGCTGTAAACATGCCAAATGGTATAGGTACCTGAGACATACCATACCGCTTTCCATCAATAGACTCTAATAGACTATATACAATTTAACTTATAAATTAACAAACACAATAAAAGACAAAAGTTACTTGGGAGATGACATTTAACCCATATCAACCCATATTTAACCTAACCTCAAACCAAATAAATCCATTTAACTCGCATGCTGCGAGCAGCCGCACATACGTATGTCATACAAGTTGCCCATTTTATTGAATAAATTTAAACAAACATGAACATGCAACTGGTTTTCAATTTTTTAATAGATTTTTATTAAACAAAAAATATAGTTTAGCATTAGTCGACCAATTTAAATCGAATGCGTGTTTCATTAGACACATAGTATGTACGCGCGTTTAAGCAGCCTATATAAGCAGCTAAACATGCAAATAATCACAAATGACTGATTCCAATAACTATTAAGTCACTTTTCTGTTTCTCTTTGATCAGTTTAATTAAGTGAATCATTTAATTATTGAGTTGAATCGGTACTACTCCTTCTACGGCGGAAATAAAGTAAAAAGCGTCAGTGGAATAGATGTATTTTCACGAATTATCGAATAAGCTCGCCCATTACTAGGCATCAGTCTTGTCAATTTTTTGATATTTTGTCCGTTGTCCGTCAAGAAACAGGGTCGATTGTAATGGCTGTCTTTCGGTAATTTTTCGCTGGTCTCAAAAATAAAATGTAAATAATCAGTGGTTTGTCAACACGATAATTCCTCGATTTTCGATATTGGCTGAAAAACTAATTATATTGGTGTAGTGATTCGAAGGGGAAAACGGTTTCCGATGTGGAAACAGTTGGAAATGGGTCTGCGAGCATTCCTGCTCATAGCTTCCAGAATATGGACCTGCTTATGTTTTACTCTGAGAAAACAAACTCGTGCGGTAAGTAACCAAATTCGAACTAAAAATGTGTAGTTTGTTCTGTCTTAATAAACAACATTTCGCAAACTGATTGGTAACCTCTTAAATTCATTGTTGATAATGCGGTATTTTTACTTGAGTACCCTCGAAGCACTATTACACTTTACCCTCATTACCAAAGCTAATTTTACTTAAATGTTCAACGTTTGTTCATTTCGAAATGTCTGTTACAGTTTTTGGCAAATATTGTTTTTGGCAACTACCCAACATCTAACTGTATTTCTTTTTTTGCAGATAATTCAACATCAGTCTGTAAAGTACGATTTATTTCCATTATCACCTTTATCCAGACATAGATTAAGTAAGTATTTTTTTATCAATATAGTACCTTAACAAAATAGGCTTCAGTATAAGTTTAAACAACATGACTACTTAGTTATTTTCAGATCTTTATCATTGATATCTAATATTAAATGTACCTAAGTATCGTATTATTGTGTTATAAGATGTAACTACGTGATCGAAGTCATCCCGAAAATATTAAAGACAAAAATCAAATGAAATCGGGCTGTTATAAATGTTTACACTAGTAGATATTTAATATTGAAGAAATCGTCGTATTTATTAATTTAGCTCTAACTAGGTATCACCTGTATCTCAGGAACTGTTAATGGCACAAGAAAGTGGCCAAACAGTTATTAAACTAGCCATCAAACGAAACAATTTAGCACCTAAATTAAGTTAGGGCTTGAGAAGAACGATTAGTATTCTACTTGGCGCTAATATTATTTTTCATTTACATACAAGGTGATTCGTCATAGTTTAATTTTGAATTCTAGTCTACAAATTCTATACCCACACATGCCTTAGTAAAATATTGCTTAATTACGATAAAACATGATATTAAAGTAAGTTCTACAATTTTAATTTAAATTTGGCGAAAAGTTTTAAAAACAGTTTTTTGGGTGGTACCAGTACAGAACGCGAARCAGCCAGAATTTTTCAAATTTCTTCAAAACTTTGAATGGAAATGAAGCCTTTGAAGAAAATGTCGAAATTTTGAATAAAGCTGATTGTTTTTCAGGTAAAAAGCTATACCAGTTTGATACCGATTATATATTTTATTATAGAACAAACTATAACTGATTTTAATTTTTCATCGAAAAAAAATCATTAAAAATGTTTGGTACCTAGAGAAAATAGACTGGCAATTTTTGCARTAAGCAAAATAATGGGTAAAAATCAAAGCAAATAATTAGTGACTTTGTTTTTTTTTATCTTTAGAACACGCTATTTCACTTTATTTTTTTTAACTTTTACCTCTATAAAAAATTAACTTAATATCTTCGCGCAAATTTTCCGAATTTATTGATATTTTGGGATGTTTGCATTGTGCCGTTTCAAATTCGATGTATGTATGTATTTGTTTTGAATGATAATTTTGCTTTGCATCAGTGGGATTTACACATTAGACATTACATTTTTACAAAAAACGGACTTTTCTGTCGCTTAGCACAAGACATAAGTATTTCTGAAACAGTTTAATTTAATGTAAAAATTGTTTTTAAATGGATCCGTAAAAGGTAATTCTAGAACAGTATTAAAAAAAAGTTTTAAATAAAAATTAGTTATAACAGGTGGTTCAAACATTTTTTTTGTCATTAAAACCCCTTCCTTATAGTTTGTTTCAATATGAAAAAGGCCACTAAATTTACAAACTTTTTTGTGTATTATAAAATCTCTAAATAGTTGCGGAAACTTTAACTTCTTTAATAATAAAAAACATTTCTAAATGTTTAAATGTACATCCAAGACGATCAGTTGTGAAATTGTTTCAGATTTTTTTTTCTGAAAGCATAAATAATTATTTAAAATATTCTTGTACATGTTGATAGACAAAAAGATCTTTGATATACCAAATTTTACAGCACGAAACATTTATGGGTAATTGATTATTTCATATTTATTATGAAAATTTGCATATGTGTAAAAGGGCCTGTGATTGAAACGAATTGCGCGTCTCACAAATCCCCAATTTCATCAGGCCAAGAAAGCTACAAAGTAAATTATCTGAAATTTTCAAATTTAATCATAATTACTCACAAATTTAGGGTTGATCATAAGTATATTGGACATTTTCAGATTATAGTAATGAAATATATCCATAAAATAAATATGTGTCCTAGGCCTGGGTAACACTCTGTTGAGTTGCGCTATTGAGTTGTTGCCGCTCTCTGAGTTACCGAGTTATAACTCATCGATTAATGAGTTATAATTCATTTATTAAAACTGTACGAGACCATTGACTGGAATTTTTACGTTAAAAAAAAGGTAATCAACATTTTTTTTGCTAACTTTGCTACTTTGCTTTTTTTTACTACTTTTTTTTACTACTTTGCTCAAACCACTAAAAAAAGTAATGTAGATTTTCCCTGCAACAGAACTGAGTCCAAAAACAGTCGACGAGTTTTCTTGTAAAATCGATATCTTAATTTTTTTGCATAAAAGAGTGAGTTTGCCAATATTTTACAGCAAAACGTTAGGAAAAACGCGGTTTTTCTGTTTAGAGACAGTTTTGTTTTGAAATATTGGCCTAAAATTGAAGAAATCCCAGTTTCCAGGAGTTTTCAGTTTTCGTTTTTCAGTTCGGGGAAATATTTTTGGAAAAAGACCTAGAAATAATTTTTAAGGTTCCTGCCCATAATTCGAAGCTGTTAAGGAGGCGAGTGTTCCAATAAAATTTATCTCGTAATTTTGCACAGAAAATACCTGAAGAATATCAGCATTTTAAGTAAAACTAAAAAATAATGCGATTTTTGTTTAGAAAAACTTGCTTAATAGAAACTTTGTTAAAACTAGAATGACCTGAAAATTTAAAGGAAATTATTTAGAACAATAAGGGCGGCGAATTTTTCTAATATTTTTTTCTGAACTTTTGCTCTCTGGTCGTTTTTTCAATATAATCCTAATTSCTTTCGARAAAAAAAACTGAATAAAATGATTTTATTTTTGTGCCAAATTCGAAGCTGAAACCTGCAAACCCAKGAATGAGGCRAATTTTCTRGCMCAATTAATTTTGTAATTTTGTAATTTTTKGCTGAAAAGACCCCATTATTGTCAGAAAAGAAGAAAATAATGCTTTTTTGCGTTTCCGGTTTAAAACTTTCAGTTTTGTTATCGGTTTTGGAGAAAACCTTAATGGTTTTCGGGGAAAACCGGATGAATGTATTTTCGTTTTTGTCCCAAATTCGACGCTGAAAAAAGTTTTTGTAATATTTTTACAAGGCTATCAATTTATCTTGTAATTTTTCGCGTAACAGTCCTCCAGATCGCCAGTATTTTTAACTGAAACTCTACAAAATATATCGTTTTTGAGTAGAAAGTAAAGTAAAAAAAAATCAGTCAAAACTAAAAAACCACAAATTCTATAGTCTTCAGAGTAATGGAGGTGACGAGATTTACAAATATTATGTTATACTTATAATAACTTTCGCTTATTCTGTTCGTTTTTTGATAGAAAATTATTTGAAGTTTGTTCCAAATTCGAAGCTGGAAAGGGATTTGAAACTTTTTACAAAGCGACGAAGGATTTGCAATTTATTTCATAATTTTTCGCGGAAAATACCTTAAGATTGTCARCATTTTTAAATTAAATTAGAAAATTGAGCATTTAGAAGAAAAAGTAACTTGGTCAAAACTCTGAATTTTGAAGACATTTAAAAAAAAAATTGTAATAAATGGCCTTTAATATATATTTAAAACAAGTAAAAAACGTCGTCAACATTTTCCCAGCAACGATGCGTTGGGTTGGYGCACCAAGCCATTTGCGCAGCACGCGCCAACTCCTACAAATTCACTGAGTTACCCAGGCCTAATGTGTCCTRCCCTGAGYCAATATCTTTCAAAAACAGATAMATTTTKATTCTTGGTTATTAGTATACATTRTTTAATATGAATTATAAAACAGTGTATCAAAGTTTTTTGTCCGTTTTGTATTAATAAGCTGTAAGTCGATATGTAAGTTCCCAGATAAAATGCTTGTATTTACAAAATGTTTGTATTTACAAATGATCTACAACATTCTTATTTTTACTTACAGGTATAGTAAAAAGAAAAGTTCTGGTTCTTGATCTAGACGAAACGCTTATTCACTCACATCACGACGGAGTAGTGAGGCAAACAGTAAGGCCAGGCGTACCTCCCGATTTTATCTTAAAAGTGACGATTGACAGACATCCAGTTCGGTTTTTTGTGCACAAACGGCCCCACGTAGATTTTTTCCTTGATATAGTAAGTATACGTTTATGACGTATTTTTCTATTATTATTGTAGTGGTAAGTTACAGGCAGGGTGGTCTAGTTACGATTGTTAAAACTGGGAACTTTAAGAGATATCAGACATGAAACCAGCTATCCTCAATCAAAAATTWACTGTGTGTTTTTGTTTTCAAGTTAAAACGATACAACAAACCGATTTTCAACTTTAGGACTTACGTCTCAAGTTTGTACGTTTCAGCATAAAAAAATAGATAAAACAACATGCTCTCAATTTATCTTAAATAGAAGAATGAATATTCCTTAACAGCGCAATCTTATAGTTTTTATTATAAACTTACTTGCCCCTGGATTTTTGTAATCGGTGATATGCATCTAGAGACTTTTTAGTTTGACACGGGCATTTGTAGTTGTTACAAGTTTTAGCTACACGTTTTCTTCTTTTTTGATCCATTTATGATACCTCAGCTGCCGCTTCGTAGCTACCGTAGCAAATGTTATTTTCATTGCATGTTTATCAACTACTAGTATAAAAAATTAAGAAACTGAATGTTAAAAATTGTTTAATTGAATAAATGTTATTACAGTAAATCTCAATGTAGGTCGGTTTCTAGGCACGTAAATAACTATATTTTTATTTTTAACTCAACATAATCTTTTTCGTTTAGTAGGAGAGTGTCATTTTGAGAAGTGGCAGACTTAATCAAGTGAGAAATGGAAATGTAAAACAATTTGGTATGTGGTAATATTAGATAAGTTGTATTGAGAGCCATAATACCTATAAATTTCCTGGTTTTAAAACGATTTCTTGATAATAAAGAATGCGGTAACTTAGAAACCAGACAGTGGCAAATCGTAAACTTCGGCTAAAGCTATGCATTAAACAGATAAGATACTCCGGCAATATCAGTTGGTTATAAAATAGTAATTTTCCCATAAAGATTGACATTTTGCCCGAAACTTGAAAGCAAATTAGTAATTTGAGGTTTGTGGATCAATTTATCGCAAAAAAAACCGAGGCGGAGGTTTGTGGGTTCATCATTTTATGTCTCTTAAAGTTATCGCTATTATCGAATCAAATCAAAATATGCTTTATTGCTACAGAAAAAATTACAAACTTTATGGACAAAATTATGGTATGGTTTTTATGGTGAAAAACAATAGAAAACATAGCACGTACGATCAGAATAAACAGTAGATACAAGCACAGAGGTCATCAAAGTCATCGATACAACTTTACATCACTAACTATGTGCATGTCAATAAAAATACATATAGTTATATGTTAAACGATACTAATCGAGTTCACCAAAATGCAATAATTATTTACATAACAAAGTCTCAGATATTTACAATAAAGTGGTAATTATGAGCTGCTAACAAGAGTAAATTCAGGGCGTGGGAATTTAAACGTCCATCTCGTATTTAAACGTATATTCAAAATTAATTATGAAAACTTAATTTCAAAAGTAATACCCAGAATTTACTTATGCCGACACATCCCACCTTACATTACATATTACCCTTAAATATGGAACCAAATTTCGGTTATTTAGATTTTAATTTTTTCAGGTATCTCAATGGTATGAACTGGTGGTATTCACTGCTAGTATGGAAATATACGGGGCCGCTGTTGCTGATCGACTAGATGCAGGGCGGGGTATTCTGCAAAGACGCTTTTATCGCCAACATTGCACTCCCGACTTCGGATCTTATACCAAGGATCTTAGTGCTATTTGCAACGATCTCTCCAGTGTATTTATCCTGGACAATAGCCCTGGCGCGTACAAAGCGTATCCCGGTAAATAACCATGAGAAAGCAACCAATGAAGAATTAAACCTTGAATTGGTGCTTTTAGATAATGCCATTCCGATTAAATCGTGGTTTTCGGACCCGACGGACATGGCATTACTCAACCTACTTCCAGTCCTGGATGCGCTTCGCTTCACAGCCGACGTTCGGTCTGTGCTAAATCGGAACTTGCATCTACACAGGCTCTGGTAGGACTCCATATACAAATTCTTCACTGAGCTGATCAGTGTAATGTAATATGAAAAACAGGTGAGTGCTGGTGTTGCCGCAGAATATACGTGGGGTTACAGCACAAAGGTGGCGGTTGATGAGAATTAATTTACCGAGTTGGAATGAATGTTTGCAATAAGAAAATTGCATCGGCGTGGACTTGCTTACTCAAGGAAATGGCATTTGAATAGCCGTGTGTTTGGACTTCATTACATCGATTTAAGGCCTTCGGTGCTGGGGCAAAGTATTCGAGTAATCGTGAATAGCTACACGGGTAAATAGATATTCGTCAAGCTTGCCACCCAATATAACGTTCAGGGTAAATGGTTTCTTATATAATTAACCTTATCTGATGGAAGGGTACAAAATCTTATGGTTTGCTGAAATGTTCATAATATGTTTAAAATTAGGGTTTTTCTGAAACTAAAATTATTGCGGAGTTAATTATCCTAAGCATTAATGTATCCCGCAAAATGTGGGTTTGCTTTAGGCACATATACAGCGTGTTCAACATGACAAATTCTTATTTTAAAAAAATCTACAGTCTTGCGACCACGATATAAGCCACTAAAGGGCGCTGCTGAAAATCGGTTTTTATAAGAAACAAAAAAGATCCTTTTTTAAAAAAGGATCTGCCGGCTGGTTCACATTAATGCTTTTTACTTTACCACACTGTATTATATGAAACTCCTGAACTAAAAAGAATAATCTTATGCTGCGTCCATTTCTAGCGAGACGAGCCCGATACGCGGCAAAAATATCAAAGGAATTTTGTCGCGACTCGTCAGGTCTGGATGCACCATTATATTGATAAAATAAGCGGTTTTTCAGGCCACGCCTTATGTATTTGTATGCCGCTTTTGTCTCAGGGTATACTTTACGGAGTTTACTTACACTATAGAGAAGCTTGTAGACGATGTAAATATACATTTTCGGTTTCATATACTTGAAAATGAATAAATATGAGTTCAAATCTATTTTAATTAAAATATCACCCGGGGTAATTAGGAAATCACCGTTTTAAACAGTTAAAGGAGTTAGACACGGTCCGAAATGGTTCAGAGTATGAATCGAGCTTTAGTCCCAGAAAAGAAAAACAAGCTGGACCGCGTTCTCCCGCAGGACAGGAAAGTACTGTAGATTTTTTTTTATATGAACTTGTCATGTTATCCTGAACGTCTGGCAACCTGTATATAGGCACTATTTTCCTCCGCGACTTTTAACTTAACCACCTGGCAAATATGGATTCTTACACCACTGGAATGGTAATATTGTACATACTCTTTTCTGACACGTGTCGATTGACCGCATGGATATATTACCCGAAAGCTAATAAATGATTGATGATATGTGATTAAAATGAAATGATGCAATGACTTGTTTTTTTTCATTAATTATCCGTTTCTATTCAGAATTTTTAAAATTCGTGTAGCAAATCACAATTCTCCGAGAAACGGTTGATTGTAGATGTTAACGTTACTTGGATTTAAAAAAAAGATGTAAATTTTCGTCTGAAGGCATAAAAATCTATAGGGTGTCCCATTTAAAATAAGCGAAAAAATTGAGTCAAGGCTTGACCTTTAATTGTAAAGCGTAAGTTTTCGAACATCCAGCATAAATTGAAGAAATTTGAAGTCAAATGTGCATTAAATAGCAATGTCCGTATTACACTACGCACGTTTCCCCGATTTGTTTGCCAATAAAGTGGGCCAGTTACTGGAGGTCATGTTCGTGGCCGTCATCGGGTTTACACTTGGATATTATTCTCACAATAAATTGGTGCAATTTCAGTAAGGCCAAAATAAATTTCAATACTTTAGATATGTTGTTTTTTGTTGCTAACGATGTGTAGATCATATCCCATGAGCCAAGTGAATAATTTTCTTTATTAATTTGCCAAACTTATTGCATGCAACACAGATTTTGATCATCTAATCTTAATCCTTGCAACTTTATTCTGACAATCGCTGCCAACATCGTTGTTGCACCGTTAGCAAACAAATAACCGGAAAAATTGCCAGAAAAATGTTTATTATCCACAGTAATTTCCCACATGTCTAAGTCCGGAATATCGTACGATTTATCGATCGAAGCCCGATTTCGCGCTTTACGCTCGCATATGTTTTGTACCTTTAGTAATTGGACCAATTTAGTGGCCAATAAATCGGGGAAAGTGCGTAGTGTAAAACTGGTATAAAAATATTTTCAGGTTCCGCCAATAATACAACGTAATGCCGGATCCAGACAAAACCGAGACATTCATGTTTCACGACAAAGTGAAGTCCTGGACATTTCGGTCACATTTTTGTTTTGTTTGCCATTCCGGAGACTTTTGCAAGTCCCGTCTCGAGTCGGTAAATATCAAAGGGTCTCTGTTTTGTCTGTGTATTTTACCACTCGTTGTCGGCGCAGTGTGGACGGTGTGTGTTGACAAAAGTAGGAGACTTTCTCTATCTCCACTATATATCCAATCTCACTACTAATTCAATAGCATCCTCACGCATCTGAACTAACAATTTATTTATGGAATAACTTTCTCGCGTTTTTAAGCCTGGTCTCATCCAAAAACGTTTGCGTTTTATTGTTCCAACATCGGATGAAGAGGAGAGAAAGATATAACAACTGGCGGCGAGCAATAAAGCTTCAGTTTTTTAAATCTTATTCCTGGTGGAAACGCCACATGGTTAAACAACTGATTCGCTCCAACTGAATTTTGTTGCACATTTGTCCTTGTGGTGTGAACAGTTTGTTTCGATGTAATCTTCTCTAAATACCTAAAATTTTGTCGTGTTTTTGACTCAAAATCCTGTTCACTTTTTGTCTGCTTGGTCTGGACCCGGCATAAAATATCACCAAAAAACAATAGAGTTGCATCTGAAGAAGTGCATGAAAATAGAGCGCGCTCTATTGCGCACAATACAAAAATCCATGCAAAATTTAAGGCGCAGAAACTTTGAGTTGAAAAGACAAGAGCAAGAGAGAGAAGAGCAATGAAATGCACTTGATTGCTTAACTGATTGTATACACAGAAATTGACGAGAATCTTTATTTGATCGTTTAATACTATTTTCAAGTTGTTTTCCCTGTGTGGCCGGGAGTATTAGGAAATCACTTAGCTCATACTTCACTTCATCAATTGATCGATAGTGATTTTCGATAGTTAATCTACTAAACACCTTTTTTTCGAAACAATAATTTTGTTAATGCATTTAATTGCAGCATCCTTAACTAAAATACTAGAAATACTTAAATTAAAAGGTAACCCAATCAAATTTAGAATGGAGAAATATATTGACAATTTTTGAAAAAATGTTATTAAATGTGAAACAAAATTATTTACGGTAGATCGATAAAATTGCATATTTCAATTTACTTTTCAATTTTCACCAACGTTTTCTGATGGCAAGTTGCGATATTGCCAAAAAAACTACTTTGATCACTCTTGAGTTAAAGTCATATTTTTGGAGCTTCATATATTGATAATTGCAGCACTGAAAGTTTGAAAGTGAAATATCTCTAAAACACCAGATATACCGCATTTTATATATATTTTTTTTGTATAGAAGACATTAACTGACAAAAACAAAGTCGGTATTTTAACGAACAAGAAAGTTATATTGCATGAAACAACTGAACTCCAAAAACCTCCAATCACACATTCTGTGGTAATAGTGGAACTAGTTAAAAAGCTATTCAAAATAACAAGCATTTAATTTCAACTTTGACACCCTGCATTTTAAACACGGGGTTCCCAAATTGAAAAATGATATGAAACTCAATTCCATTTTGCCCCAGGAACGTTGAACACAACAATGAATTGGTCATTTTCGGTTCGCCGGAATTAAGTTGCTTTTGACCTGCATATTCTACGAGGGGAACCAAAACAAAAATTTCGTATAAAAATACATCAAATTTCAGCTAAATGTCTAATAAGGATTAGTTCTTCAGAGAAAAAATACAGTTGTGCGGCCTAATTTATGATTACCCTGGATATAATATATCTAAATAAAAGTTGAAAAGGATTTTTCTTGGCGTAGCGAACAAATAATTTTTCCTATTCCAAAATGTATTTGTTCGCCACGCCAAGAAAAATCTCTTTCAAAGTTATAAATTATCGGACAACGAAAAACTTCATTTTTAAATATAATTTCGAGAAATTGTTTTGTTTTTAATACGAAATTCTGGACACAAATTTATGGTTGCTTTTTTGAACGTCGACTTATTCTCACTTACATTTTGCATTTTTGAATTAAACCTGTTTTGCGAAAAGCACTGAATCATTGTAGCAAAATCTTCAAGTAATATATCAAAACCGTCGTAACTACCTTTCTCCTTTTGGATGTTTCTTTCTCCCGTATTTACAACTGGAAATATGTTGTGCATCGCGTGTAAAAAATGGTACGAAATACCGTTATTGAAATGTAAAAAATCTGCGGCAATACTGGCACCTCAGATCCCCAGAGTCATTGCTGATCCAGTCACGTTATTTACAGTGGCACGGGCGGCATGTCAATGGGTTCTCCTAGAACGCGACTTGATGCGGCTAACATAAAACCGAAAACCGATCTCGAGAGTTTAGCTGAAAGCTTGGTAACCCGTGTAGAGGAAAATTCATCAGACAAGCAATTTAATAGTGACAATTCAAATAGCAGCTCTAAGGACAAACGATTCAAGTCCCGCATTCCGCAACGGATGTGCAATTGACGGTATCGAAAATAGGAACAGGGAATAAGAGGTGTCTCCGGAAGGGGGATTGTTAAAAACAACCTGGTGTAATTGTGATCAGCATCAGCCTAATGGAGTGAGACTTTGTACAATAATCCGCAGGTTGAAAAAGAATAGAACTAGCAAACGTAATACTTATTCTGTGGTCAATAGCAACGTTTATTTACAAAAAAATATATTTCAATATGACGAACTTTCTGAAAAAATAATTGAAATGTTGAATTTTCCTAAAATGAGACCCCTAACGGCACCTCGCCCAAATCTTTCGGCTGCTCATTAAACTGAGTGGATATGTGAATATTGTATGTATATACAATTAGATAGTAAACGTAAAGTAATCGGTACCTTGATATTTTTTAAGTTGATTTAAGCAAATTTGATTGGCAGATCAAAGCGATACAATACACATTTTGGTAGATAATAGTTTTAGAAGAATAAAATGTAAGTATCTAGAAAATATAATGTTCTAATTAAGCAAGCTGTATATTTGCTTTCTTCATTTTTGTTTGTTGTATTTGCCTTGCCGGATGGTACTTATGAAGGTATTTGTATATAAGTTGGCTTTTAGCATGGGTGGACCTTTTCGACTAAACCCTTCGCACATCAGTTTGAATCACTAGTACCGTTACTATCATTCTACATATGCTATATTATTTTATTCGGATTTTATCTAGTGCGTCCCATTAAGAGCGCTGTTATTGATCATGCAAACGTTTATAAGGGAAAAATATTATATATTTCCAGATTCATAACTTACTCGAATTTAATTAGATTCTATTTTGACGGGAAATAAATATGCTCATCATGACCCCAAAATGTTCAATTAAGCCTACGTGTATACTTATTTTACTGAGACCTATAAGGGATTTTTATCTGACAAAGGTTGTATGTCATTTAATCCCATTTTCTCTATTTTATCAAAATTGTGCGCACTAGAAAGACATTATCTAAACAGCGTTTTGATGGCTCTCCAACTGCCGACCCCATTCACCATAACTCAAAAATATTCAGTAAAATGACTATTGGTTTAACGAATTGATAACAGGTAAACTTCTCGAGTGTTGACGAATAAAACTTGCACATTTCTGTGAAGTAAAATACGTGAAAAAGCAAATCTATAAATGAAGAAATATACTATTTTTAGAAGAAAACGTTGATGTTGATATCGGGGCACCGAAACGTCCTAATCAAAGTATCTAGAAATCGGGAAGTTTCAGTAGTATTATGGAAACGCGCAATTTAACTAAAACGAATAAATGTCAATTTATTTCTTATGTGGCATTAAATTAAAGATAACTTTACACCTTTAAGCGCCTTTCTTTTGCTATCTGGTTGACTTCCATTGAACGTTTTCCCACATATGGGAACTTTATGCAGAATTAGGCGACAACAAAAGTATAGGACGTGACAAAAAAATTTCGAGCTAATTGCAAGAATCCGAAAGTCAAACTAGAATGACAAGTTTATGTGAATTTCATAAATTCCATGAATATTTTCTGCAATGATAAATACTATTCTAGATGTTCCCAAATTATAAAACAATTCCTACATTTTTTCTTTGTTATTTTTTTCTGTAAAGGACTCTATTTCTAAAAAGAATATAATATTAATATAAGTTTATAAATGCCTCTAAATACGTATGACATAAAATAATATAGATTTTTTTAGGTTTTTTATTATTTAGTTATTGTATGGATTTTATTAACGCATATGCAGTTTTACTTAGAAGAAATATTGACGATACTTGTATAATTTCAATGGATATTAATTATTGTTTTAAAAACAAAAATAGATGTTTTGCAAGTAAAACATAAAAAATTAACAACATATTAGTCATACACAAAATAAATTTATCACGAAATCCAAGAGAAAGTTGACTAATGCAATTTAGAAAGTCATTGGAAAACAAAAAATACGATTATGAAAGTGTCGATGATATTTTCAGAAGTGGCTGGAAGTTTGCATCCCAATCTGCTGAAGGCAAACTAGTTCAACTTTCTCAGGTCTCACAACAAATTTCGCTTATAACTGTCGTTAAGAAATACTTATAAAACATGTTTAAGTCTCAAGTTATGTAAAGTGCGCTTAATGGGACAATGTAACGCATACAGGGTCATAAGTGCAAGAATAAACATTTTTAAATTAGAGAACATATCGATAATATGCTTTTATTTTTATTGAGTTTGCATATTGTGGCGTATACGGGGTGTTTCATTATTTTTGCGCTTCTTATAGTACATATATTGACTCAGTTCAATAGCAGTATTGGCATAAATCAAATTCATCTAATTCATAAATTGATTCAGCTTGACTTTGCTTGGGAGTTAATTTAGATTTAGTATAGTTATCCATATTTAGCGTACCTTCATGTCATTTTCTCCCGAACCCGTAAAAGTTTTTTTTGGATAATACCTTTTTTTAATCAAACTATTCTTCAATCGAAAAACACTAACTTAAATCTTTAACATCATCAATGATAGATGAATGTGTAAAACGGCCTCTAATCACTAGTCACCAAATTCCGGATATTTCCATTCTTTACAAATGTCTTCCGAATTATAGTGGCGCACTGTAGAAAATGTGGTTTGCAGGTTTGTTGTTGCGCTGCAGTTGATATTAGTTTAAAGACGTATTTAGAAATTGATTCCATGAATACGAATCGCAATTTTTACAAGCTTATTTAACAATGAGCTGAATTTAAGCGGGTTTCTATTCAATCCCTCAACCTAAATATCGCATTATATTCGTTACAGTCCGCGAGCCGAATAGAAACAGAACGAAACTCGACTAGCTTAAATGAGAATTTTCTTACTTCACGAGTTAAGATACAATTCCGGTGGTGCGACTGCAACTCGCGACTGATCGAAAAATTCGCAAATTACTCCTTTAATGTACTTTGCACTAAAAAAAATATTTCGGTTGTGCGTTCCGACTAGAGACGCGGCGGTTCGATTAATTTCAATGCGATTGAACTGGTAGGTGGACCAGTGAAATCGCAGTCGCAATTGCGATTTTGGAAAAATGGCTCGTTTTTTAGTGATTGAAATAGCCTTCTTCTGAATGACAATTTAATTAAGGATGTCCAAAAATGTACATATCCAAAAACTGTTGAAAAAAATATATTTGTTTATTTTAAGACATCTCAAGAGAATACTCACAGAGTGCACATTTAGCGAAAGAAAAAACTTCCACGTATTTACTTTTGGATTAATATTGTATTGATGTACTCTAAAAATCCCTATTTTATTTTTAATGTTCCGTTATATTAATGTTTTAAGCCAACTTTTCTTTTGCATTTATCCGAAATTTTCCGAAATGGGTTTCAGGTCTTCCAATCTCCTTTGCTAAAGTGATAGAACAAAATCAGGATTTAACCGAAATAATTATCTGAACTTATTCGCATCTAGTTTTAACAGTGAACAGTCAAGAAGATTGAAATAGCCTTCTTCTGAACGACTTTGGAATATAGCATGCGTCTCGTTTTTTGCTCAGAAGTTGTTATGCTTCTTTTTCCTCATGTTCCAAGAAAATAAGGGTTAAAAGTTCGACGTCGTCTGTCTTTTGAACAGTTTTGCTCAAAGGTACCTTACGAGCTAATCTCCTGAGCTGATCTCTTGTGGCTATGAACGCACCATCCAAACCAGACCTGACATTGCGACTCGGTGCTGCGTTTGGCCGCAATCGCAATCGCGCCGTACTTTGTGTGATGCGTTTATAGCCGCAACAGATCAATTTGCAAGGTACATTTGAGGAAAAACTGTTGAAAAGTTGGACGATGTCGAACTTTTAACACTTATTTTGTTAGAAGAGAAGGAAAAGAAGAACAATTCCTTATCCAAAGTCATAATATACAATGTACCTATCATTTTTTCGCGTTGATGGGGCTATTTTTCTCCATTCATTTTTTTTTACTGCAAAAATTTCATAATTTGCAACTTCGTTATCATATTGGTCGATGGGTATTTTCAGACTTCCTTAATTAAATTGTCATCCCCATTCGCTAAAAAATGAGGCATGTTCCCAAAATCGGAATTGCGACTGGGATTTGACTGGTCCATCTACCAGTTTAATCGCATTAGCTGCTACTCGAGCCACCATCTGTAGTCGGATCGAGCGAAACCGTTTTTGCAACGTGCAAAGTACATTAAAGGAGTCATTTGGGATCAGCCGCGAGTCGCAGTCGCAACCCCGAAACCGTATCTTTAGGCGCTTCAAGTAATAATTTCATTAGTTATAATGACCAAAACGTGACATATTTTTTAGTAGACGCTTGTACAGAATAATAAATTTCATAAAAGAGACTTCGTAGTGAATAGAAAAACGCCAAAACATTTTTTTGAGATTGTAAAGAATCTAAAGTATTTTTAGCCATTCAACAAAATTGGTTCACAGTCTCAACTGTAAAGGGAGCTTAACATATGTAACTCACTATTATTTGCTAATTGGAAATCTATTTTTTATCAGAGTTTTCAAATATTTTATGGTTCAACTCACAAATGATTTGTTGCTCATGGCGATATGCAACCTTAGTAGCATGAAGGGTTACAAAACTGCCAATTGGATTTTTACATAATGGCAATTGGTTGATTGGAGAATTTTGTTTTAGTTTTGCTGCAGGTAATAGACGAACAAACTATGAAGGAGCAAAAGTTAGTAGATTAGGTAGTTAATGGTATTTTCGTCTTTTTCATTTCTATGTACAGTGTACATGAGTCAATTTTATTTTCATATATTCGTACAGCTTCAGAGACACATCTATTTTGAGATGCTTAGAAGCTGTACATATATCCTCAAATTCTAAGATAATTTTGGCCAGTGGTTCCTTTTAGTTCAAATTAAAATAAGCTTTGTTGGTAACAGAAATTTTTATAAGCGACAACGTTAAATGCCAAGTATATTGAAACAATACTTGCTACTAATGGCCACATATGAACAGGAATGAGAAGATATGAATTTCTGATACTGACGAAATATTTTTAATGTAATCAATTTTTTTATAAATATGCTCATATATCGATGGTTTAAGTTCCGAATCGCGCTTTCACATTTATTGTGAATAAACTTCAGGTATGAGAAAATTGTTTCACTGAGTTTTACCGAACATATGAATACAAAATCGATGCAAGGATTGTGTTTTTTGAAACAAAACACCGAAGTTTATTTGAAAATATCTGGAAAGTGCAAAACTGGCACGTGATACTTGATTGATACATGTGTGTCGACGTTTTTACTTAAATCAAACCATAAATTACTTTGAATGTAGAACATCTCTGCACTAGCAATTGAAGAAAGATTGCTAGTCTCTGCTCTCGCTCGCCGAAAGATGGTAAAAATTTGTTCCGAGAAACATTTAGTACATCTTGCCAACTGCAAGTATAATATGTATATAGTGTGTCATAATAATTGATAAGTTGTTTGTAAGGTACTTTAAAAATACATTTGGATAAAATAAGTATCAACATGTCTTGACAATACCTCTTTTAAAATAAATTGGTCTCTAGATTCCACTGAAATATGTATAATCAAGGTTTCAATACTACAAGCGAGTTAATAATTCGTACGTGCAACTTGGTATCTTAGTCACTTTAAGACGATAAATATCAGTTTTAATTAACATTAGATTTATTTGCTGTTATCCTATTCTAATTCTATTTATTTTTTGGTAATCTCTGTTATGTTGATATTTACTAGAGAAAGTTTATGTTGTCTATGAATTAGGATGTCTAACAATTGTAAATACACATTCAGGACAATGTAGAAGCCGAATGAATGACATGAGTTTAGTTAGGATTTACGTTAGAAATCAGATTTACCAAAGTACTGCTAAAATTTATGTTTGAACAAAGAAGAAAATATGTATGATTTGAATTTTTCTCAACATTGAAATTGTAATAAATGATTTGCATTATAATGTTTGTTTCGTTACCTTCAAACCAACAAAACCGGTTGAAAGTGAACCGACGGTCGGAGGTTCATAGCAGAGGAGAATATCCGGCATAAGAATTATGACTGATCAAAATATAATCATTAAGTCGTTACACATTCAAAGCACTGTCCACATAAAAACACTTCTATATGTATTGGTTTCATAATTATTATGTTTCAAAATAAATGAACAATCGAAAATTAAAACACACCTGGTGGTGTGTTCCTGTTAATTATTAAATCATTTACTTGTAGGAATCTTTTAAGGAAAGTTGTATATAAAATGGAAAATTCATCTTTATTGCCATACGTTTTATTTGTACAACAAAATAATCAATAACAATATATACAACCCTATATCATTATTTACACAAAAAATAGTCCGTGTAATATACACGAGAGTCATTTCCATTAAACTGAAAATGTCAAGAAAGAAGAAACCCAGTGATCGTAAAAACTGTAAGCAAGCTATTAATTCGGTGAGTTTAACACCTAAGCAATTCGGTACGTGATATTATCTAACAACAGGAGCTGAATTGAGTTTTCAACTTATGAGTACTTGCTTTTAAATCAAAGCAGTACAGAAAAACGCCCAAAATTCAGTACCTACCGTAGTTTTAAAACATATGTAATTCCTAATAAATATTAACAAAACTGAAAAAATATTTTAACCCTATTCAATGAGATGATCAGCAAAGAATATAGACAATTGAACTAAGCAGAATGAACGATCGCAAAGCTTAAAATCAGTTTTGTAAAACTTTGGTTTGAAGAAAAAAATTGTGAAAAATAGCAGCACGGTATTTAAAAAACAAAATGTTTTCCAGCGGTCTTTAAAATGCCATAAGATGATCCTTTCCAGAATCACACTATAGAAATTATCATGTGCAAAAACAGATAATAATTGGCCTATTAAGACAGAAGGCGTATCTACATGAAGCCGCAAAAATTCGTCTGAAACCGATTTTTTTACCTGACAAACTTCACCTAATCAGTAATGTTCCCTTCTCGGTTGCTTTTTTTACTCTGATATGATTCGGCGTCACAATCTTTAGCCGAATATCTGTAATAAACGAAGATTTAGATTAAATACAATAATTCTATGAGAATTATAGTTACTTTATACTAATTTTTGATCTATGAGTATATGGGCTAGACAACGTCTTCGTGGTTACTGAAAAAGAAAAATAAACGTGCGTAATTTTACTTTCTCAGAATAAGCTCATTCATGACCCATGAACAACGCATGAACCCGAAATTGCCTTCGTATTTATTTAATATTAAAAATTTAGGTTCTGCAGTCAACGAACGGCCCACATATAAGTAAAAAGTAAGTTCTAAAACGTGGAAATATTTACTGAACTAGTTGAAAAATGTAATTGATGTTACGTTCATGAGTGTGAAATTAGTTAGTTGAAATAATTATTTACATTATTTCTAAACTGGACTCGCTAGTTTTCATTCCATGTTCGGGTTCTGAACACCCTGAACCTGAACCAACTTCAAGCATTTCTTCTTTGCTATCTTCGTTGTCACATTCGGCTTCATTTTCCGGATGAACGCTCGACATTTGCCAGGCAGGAATTGATGGGGGTACTACAGGAGCGGACACTGATGGAAATTGTTTTCTGGAATCAATGTAGTGTTATTTGTTGACTTACGGTTACCAGTAAATAAACGTATTTTAGATTTTCGTTTCGATGGCAGCAATACATGATGAAAGAATATCCAATGTGAGACACAGTTAAGAAAATAAATTATCAGAATCATTTAAAAAAATCATTATCTGTGTTTTGTCTTAACAATGATATAAGTACACAAAACTCAATATATTTAGAAAAACAACAAATGAATTGTGCACGCTAACAAGTTTTCCATTATTTCTCCACTTGTAAATTTGCTTTTCTCATATATTAAAGTTTGAAACGAGAAAAGTTTCTGACCTGAGGATCTGCTTTAAATCTATTTTATGTAAGATTCTATTTCAAGTTGCGAAGATAGTAAAGAAGAGTTTTAGCGGCAGAGAAAATAGCGAGTAAAATATTGCGCAGGCTACAGTTTAACGGCGAAGATTACCTAGGATAGAAAGTTCCCATAAAAAGCATTATGCAACTCGCAGCACAGACGTGTTTACAATAAAAAATAAATTAATTTAACTGGCGGCTTTCGGATCTGGTTTCTTAACTAGCTAATTAAGGAAGATACACAGATAAGAACTAGATTGATGAGATCATTGATTAACGACTTAACTTCTATTGCAAGAGTTTAAGGGCTGAATTCGTCGTTTAACTTTTTTTTCACTGAATACTGTAGTCCTTTCGCATAAAAGCTTGAGTAATTTTTAGGGTCCGAATGACTCCGAACTTCGTAGAACGTAATTTCTTAGAATAAATTTGATCGATGTCGACATTCTATAAAAATTGGAATTTTTCGCAAATCATTTACTCATAATTAAATAATTTATGCTGAGTTGCACTCTTTTGCAACACAAATGTTCATGAAATGCATCAAAAAGATTAGCATTGAGTGAAAAATTAAATTCTGGAAACTGGAATAGAATGTTGAAAAAATTTAGAAATTGGTCCAAGTGATTGGGAGATTGTTGTGAAAAAATACCATTCGTACGAAGTTGTAGAAGTAACTTACGTTAATCGTTTGAACACCGCATTTACCAAAAATAAGTTCAACAACTCCTCAAACTATTCGCGACTATTTGCCCAAATATGATACAATAAAAAATTTCGCGGGTTCTCTCATAATGCTCTAAACTCAAGCAATAATTTTTGGGAGGAGATGAATTAATCTAAAAGGAAAGTTTATAAAGATTAACCTGCCGACCTGGCGGGGATTTGCACTAACTAATGATTAGTTTGGACAGTAATTCTTTGCTGGACCAACATGCAACGCACTTTTTTTTCATGTGTGAGAATTCAATTTCTATAAATGAAGATTGACCAATGCCTTAATGTACAAATTTAAACTCGAATTCTTTGCGATTTTTAAGGACCGTACCTCGATGCCTCTTTTCCATAGGATTCCTAGTTGAAAAGAGCTTTTCTTCAGAAAGATCGTAAAATCATATATTTCACGTCTTCTACGATTGCGAATGCGATTTTTTTAAACGTACTTTTACTCTTCTAAGCCCTCTTCTCAATACGTTGAATACAGTGAATAAGGTCTGATTCGTAGAAACCCCTAAATACCGAATTTAATCCATTGGGTGCACTTCAGTTTTATGTTCTCCCAATAGACTTTATCTGAATGCACCATTGTCATTTGGTGTATTGAAACATAACTTAGTTAAGTTGCAAATGTCCGTGAGTTAAACAAAGTTCGTGGTTTTCCTATTGTGATGTTCAACTGTCTGCCAATTGACCGCGGTTTAAAACTCAATTCATCCAGATTAACGAAGTTTTTATTGGTGCTTTAACGGTTAATATTTAACATAAAAATAATGTGTAGATGGTGATGTAAAAATGTTTATTTCTAGAGATGAGGACGCACTTTCAACTTTGCTATTAAGTAGTGTCTTCTTCTTCTTAAGTACAGTCTTAATAGTCAACTGGCAAATGTTCAGTTAAAGCTAAATATGTATTACAAAAAAATCTGCAAAGCTATATTGTCTCATATAAAAAATCACAACAGCAACTATGCATCCAACCAGAATATTTATCTGCAAACATATCAGTGTTATAGCGGATTTGTGGTTCGTGTTCAAATAGTGCTCCCGAAAAATTTGTATGTATAACAACTGCCTGAAAAACTATTTAAAAGGTTTGCACAGTTTTTCTTCATCTCTCGCACTTAAAAAAAAGTCCGTTTTAAGAATTCCTTGGGAAAAGGCTGCATTTCTACCGTTTGATCGACTTTTACAAAGCTAAATATTAGGCTCAAATATCCCTTTTAACATTCAACTGTGTAGCTTCGAATATTAAATATTCCTTGGGAACTCAATTGAAAACTGGAAATTGAATGATTCAAAATTAGAGTGAAGAATTTCCATCAGTAAAATTATATTTTCATATTCGTCTTTTAGCTTCACCTTTGCTTATGGGGTGAGCACAGAAAACAGAAACAACACATTTTTACTTTGCGAAAATCAGTTGAGTATATTTTTTTTTTTTTAATTAAAGGCGGGGTAACGCTCAAATAAAGGCAACATACATTTTCTCTTTCTAATTGATCATAAAATTGGAAACTAATTTATAGTTTAGGAAAAATTAGGGGCTTATCACTTTTTTTACTACAATATTTTTGAGTACTTGGCAACTTCAATATAACAATGGGCAATCGCACAAAAAATGCCAAGAGACAATTCCTAATTGATGGTAAATTATGATGTTATTAGCGAATATATGTTATATGTGCAAATTGTTTATTTTTACATTTTTTCCGTACTTCTTAAATGAATCCAGACCACACCTACATACTGAAATTATGAGATTTTTTGATCCACCAATATTTAATAAAAAAAGTTGTACTGTGAAAAAATCTGTAATTGAAATCTAGACAAGATCGTCTAAAACGCAAATTGATTGTCTCAAAGCTCAGGAATTTCGAATATATTGAAGTAGCGAAACAGCCAGGAAAAAATGATTTTTTGGCGACATTTTCACATGCAAAAATTAAGTCTTGAATTTAAAATCAAATTCTCTTACCTAGTTAATAAGAGACCTTTAAGTGTGCCCACCTCAGACTTTAAATCTTTTAGTTCAGACAGTAATTCCTTCTCTGAAGTGAAATATATTCTGTCTACTTCCGTTTTAACGTCTACTATGCTGGATTGCAAGTCTCGCATAGATCCTCCCACATTTTGTTCTAAATCATCTAATTTGTCTTCAATACTTTTCCTCTTTTTTCCGAAGAGAAATGGGGATACATACATCTAAATGTTAAAATAAAAAGTTACAACGCATAAGATAAGCTTGCTAGTGACCTCAAAGCGACATTGAAAGGAGTCAAATAAAGCCTGAAGTAAACTAAGCAGCACAAGCAGAACGTCTTACTTACATCGTAGAACTTCTTAATAGCATAGACTACAACACTAAAGATTGCAATACTATGGACAATATCCCTCAGTCTACTGAACCAACTAGTTTGTAGTGGCCCGTAATTTCTATAGGAAGAGATCATATTTGGAGGATGGGGCCCTGGAGGACTAGGTGTTAACACTCGCTCATGATGATCGTAGGCTCCTGATCTCTCACAAGCCACTCTTATCTCTTCTTCTGTTAACCCTCGATTTTGCAAGAAGCGCTGCTTTTGAACTAGTGGGCTCTGAATTACTTTCGGGTTTTCTAGAAATTTGACGGCCTTCGCCACCTGTAGATACACACATAGTTCTACAACTTCTATTCTAATTGCCCTATAATTCACTTGCATGCAATATGTGTTCTCAACTATTTTATGTGAATATTTTTAACTAGCATTTATTTAAATTAGTATGTATTGCAATAAATGCGAAACTTTTTATCTCGAATAACAAGAAATTACCCGCCTTTTAGGCCCGCTCTAACATATAATCATATTAACCTTACCAAGTCTTCTCGAACAGATACAACAGGGGTACTTTCGTCCTCCATTATTTTTTCTGGATGAATACAAACTTTTGGCACTCAGACTTTACGGTCAATGATAAAGTTCGTTCATGTGGTACATACAAAGTTCAACTAAAGGATTTTAAATATAAAACATGAACTGAACTGTTTGCTATTTAAAATGACAAAACAAGTTTTCAATTTCATACCCAGTCCTCAACATGTCACGGCTTAGAAGGGTCAGTAAAATTAGACTTCGATAACAAATTGCAGCACCACCCACCGATGGCTTCTGCAACTAGAATTTGAATGTACGTGAGGGATTCACTGAATTAATTAAATCCTTTTGAGTGTAAAGTCGAGTTTATTTAATGCAAAAAAGTATTTTAATTTTTGGATAAACTTTAGGTAATCAACAAGTTGCCTTGTGATGGATAAATATTACGCTTTTTGCTTAATTAACGTTAAATTTGTCCAAACGCCCACTGGTGGCTTCATTATAAACTATACTTAACGAGTAATATTTAACACTTATTTTATTTACCCCAACACCTCTGAACCCTGGTTTACCCATCGGTAGTTGGTGATGGTTACAGGTGATATAAATAATACAGCAGTTTTATAAATTGTAATCATTAATAAAGAACTACGTTTGCAGTTCTTCCAAGCACAATAAAGAAAAATGTTTAAAAATTTCTGAAATGTTGTCAGGATGTCTTTAAACTTTAAAACTATGAATTTTATTAATATATTTATGTGCACATGAGGGTTTTTGTCTCAAGTCATAGGACTTGAGGACTCATAAATAAGAAAATATTGAGCTTTTTCTTGCACCTTAATAAGCGATTAAGCTGTTTCTTGAAATTTACAAATTTCTTGCAAAATAATACAATTGTTTATTTGCTGAAATTACTCGTCAAGTGTAGTTTATAGATCGACGCCGGGAGATGGACTTTTGAATCATCGATGGAATCGTCGAGTGACACAATTGGCATCCCATGACATTTACAGTGTCATTTGTCAGTCAGCTTATCATTTGTCGCTACACGCTAATTGCAAAAGTTGTTTGTGCCTTGTGTGCAGGTGGTGTGCAAATTTTCAGGAAATATTCTGCTGTGCCGGTGCATCTTTGTGTGCAATTGCATTCTTTTGTGTTTTCTCTTTGATGTAAATTGCAGGTCTTCGAATTAAGTGAGAAATGGCTCGATACGGGCAACGACCGGAAAATGCATTAAAACGTGCCAACGGTAATGAAACTTAGCATATGTGTAGATAAATGTGGTTTCGAGTGATTCTTGGAATTTCACGAACTATAATTTTTTTGCAGAATTCATCGAGGTTGGTAAACCAGCTAGAGCCCTAGATACTTTGCAGGAAGTATTTAGGAATAAAAAATGGGCGTACAACTGGTCGGAATCGGTGTTGGAACCCATTATGTTCAAATACTTGGATCTCTGTGTAGAGTTGAAAAAGTCCCACATAGCAAAAGAGGGGTTGTTCCAGTACCGAAACATGTTCCAGTCGGTCAATGTTGGGTCACTGGAAAACGTTATTCGAGGGTATCTAAGAATGGCGGAGGAGAAGACTGAGAACGCCAGAGAGCAGTCTGCTCAAGCCGTTATTGATATTGACGATCTGGATAATCTAGCAACTCCAGAAAGTTTACTGTTAAGTGCAGTTTCGGGAGAAGATGCTCAAGATCGATCTGATCGTACCATTTTAACTCCATGGGTCAAATTCCTATGGGAGTCTTACTGCCAATGTTTAGAACTGCTAAGAACCAATGCCCATGTGGAAAATCTTTACCACGATATTGCCAGAATGGCTTTTCAATTCTGCCTGAAATACAACAGAAAAACGGAATTTAGGAAGCTGTGCGACAAGCTCAGAAAGCATTTGGAGGATATTTGCAAATTGCCAACCCAAGTAGCTAATGTTTCCATGTCCAAACCGGAAACCCAGCAATTGAATCTGGAGACTAGGTAAGATATTAGACGTGTTAGATAATAGTTCGATTTAATCAAATTTTGGCTAAGTTCAGTATTTGCCTGAAACACATCTGTAGTTACTTCTATCGAATCTTATCAATTAAATAGTAAATAATGTATGTGTGTAATCAATGGTTCAACTTAACAAAATCTCTATTTGCCTGTGTTTCAAATCAAGATAAAAAAAACATTTTCTGTGCAATGTCATAAGTTGTGAGAAAGTTTCAGCAAAGGCTTTCCACATATTCATGTTTTTTGGAAAATCGAGATTAGATTAATATCTTTATTCTCAATGTCAAAAACCTATTTAGTTATTATTTACATTATTTTGTTATGGGGCATTCTGTAATTGCCGGTTTTACTTAGCACTTTTTACCCCGGAACGTGATTTCACATTTAAGACCCTTCGCCCTTTCCCATAAAATTGATATTTTCAAAGAATTTCTTTAACACATTTAGATCTAGAATTAAATCGATACTATAAGATTGCTTCGCTATTTTGAATGTAAATGAATTATTAATTTGCTATAATTGGTTCAATTTTATCACAATTATTAGTTAATTGAAAACCTTCAACTAATTGTAATTTTTTGTTAAAGATTGCACCAATTGGATTTTGCCATCCAAATGGAATTATGGCAGGAGGCCTACAAAGCCATCGAAGACATCAACAATTTGATGAACTTGTCAAAGAAAATGCCGGTACCAAAAACAATGGCGAATTATTATCAGAAACTTGCCATGGTTTTCTGGAAAGCTGGAAACTACCTGTTTCATGCCGCTGCCCTTTTCAAGCTTCTACAACTGAGCAAGGAAATGAAGAAGAACATCACCCAAGAAGAATTACAAAAAATGGCTTGCAGGTAATTGAGTCTCAACATACTTATTTAGTATGTACTTTTCTGTCTTGGCCATCAGCATATCATTAGAAGTAGGTGTATTRGACTCATCGAGTTTTTTTCTTCTGCAAGTGTGGGTAAAATATTAGGAATGTTTACCAGATAAGGACATATTGTTTATTTTCTTATGAATTTATTTTTGTATTATTGAAAGTAATAATAATACTTACTAAATAACAATTGCCCACTTACTAAATATTAATCTACAATATTTCCTTATCAGGATTTTATTCCTTGAATTTTTTCCACAATTGCAGCAAAAAGAACTCGGTAAGTTGAACTCTACTGATATGACATGAAAAGTACTAAATACATGGTGAAATGTACTTATTAATGAGAGCGTCTATCTATGATAATACAGATTACTCTTAATGTTTACTATGGTTTTAAATTAGCGCTTGACAATACTGTTTTTGTATTTTATCTCTTATATTTAATTTTAGTTTTGTGTCGGTTTCTCTTTTACTATATTTAAGACTAAAACCACGGTGCTCTRTCCTCGTTTAAGGCCATCTTYGACCAACACTTATTCAATTATTTATAATTCACCACACTCTCGCCAATACTACACATGATRCAGAGTAAATGACACAAATGAAAGTTTAAATTTCGTTTTATTCGTACTTTTGATCGAAGAATTGAGAAAAAAAATAGACAATAAAACATCAACGTTGGTGCGTGCGAGAATGCGTTTACAGGAGAAATACTTTTCCAACTAAAGACTTATTGTTCAAATAATTAGAGAATGAGTATGCGAATTCGAATAGATAAAAGAAAATTGTCTACAACTAGTTACTCCCTTAATAGCGAAAACACATCTTTAACAATTCAGAATAATTCCGCATATCGATCGGCGATTAGATGCAGATTGCGAGATTAAAATGATCGAACTATCGGTTCATACGTCTCGGTTTGCATTCATTCGGAGCGCGAGTCAATGTATTAATATCTCATGTTTGATTAATGCCGTGTTCAGGGGTGTCAGTTACCTAAAGGAAAAGTGACTAGTCTATAGCATCGTTAATGAGAATAATGAATAAATAAGTGCAGATTTAAACAAATTTTTTTTGCAGGGTGTTAATTGCTACTCTGGCTATTCCACTGCCATCTGCCCATCCGGAGTTCGACAGGTTTATTGAAACTGATAAATCTCCTTTGGAGAAAGCGCAGAGATTAGCAGTTCTGCTGGGATTAATGCAGCCCCCTTCTAGGGCCAGTCTGTTAAAAGACTTGGTAAGTTGGAACTGAACTAATTGTTTTCGGAGCATTTTTTGGGGTATTTTTTTGCTACAGAAAGCAAACCATTAGAATGTTTTTTTTTATTCAATTGCAAACGAATTATCTTCAAGTTCAGGCTTGATTCCTTATTTCCTTCTCGTAAAAGTACTTTTTCTTTGAGTATGTCTCTAAATGCTTGCTTATTCGAGATTTCAAGCAGTTTTTCAGTGTGTGAAAATGTACGGGATATGCTTTTCGCTATTTTAGAAAATCTTACATGTTAGTGTTACAGTTCTGGGCAGACACTCACAACTGTTTAAATCAAGGAAAACTAGTATTTTTGTTGATATTGTACAAAAAAGTTTCGTTCTGATCAGAAAAAGTTTTGTCAATTTATACAGGCGTGAAATTAGATCCTGTAATATTAATATAATTCATACTTATCTTAGACAAAATATTTAAAGATACAAAGCATTTAATATATCTACGTACGTTTAAGAAATTCATTGTGCATGCATTCAAAAATCCATATAGAACTATATTCTTAATTAGGTTCGGGTGAATGTCGTCAATCTTGCCACCCCTCAACTCCAAGAAGTATATCGTTGGTTGGAAGTCGACTTTGATCCTTTGAACTTATGTTCGCATATGAACACCATTATGGAGCAATTACGAGCAGGTAAGAAAGATTTGCAATAAACTTTCAAAATGTTTTAACTAATGCCTTTACACTCAGAAAATATTACAAGATGTATATTATTTATATCTCGATTTTTCTAGAGGAGAGTGGAGCAGCATTACAGCAGTATATCAGCGCCTTACAAGACGTGACTTTAGTACGGCTGGTACGCCAGGTAGCACAAGTGTATCAAACAATTGAATTTGCTAGATTGATAGAATTGGCTAAATTTACCACCATTTTTCACATGGAAAGATTGCTTGTGGATTGTGTAAGGCATAATGATATGCAGGTAAATATTCCCACATTTATACCAATTTTAGTCTATTTAGCTAAAGCGTAAATACTGATTCGAGCTATTTTAACTTAGGTTGCTAAGTTTAGCAGCAGCTAATCAAATTGAAATAATGCGCGTTCATTTTTCAATTTCAATTTCATAAACCTCGATGTGTCAACGTTGCCCAATCAAACTAAATTTTTGTTGAAAAATTATATTAGTTTTTGCTAAAACCAATCTTTAGAAACCCTAATTTATTGGCGCTTGAAATTCCCTTGCATATTTCTAGATTCGCATTGATCATGGAAAGCAGTGCATCCACTTCGGTATTGACCTTAGTGAGAGTCAACGAGAAGACAAACCCGAAGGTCCAACTTTACAAGTGATGCCGAGTGAACAAGTGCGCAATCAACTTGTTAATATGTCTAATGTTTTGATTCAATCAGCCGCTATTATAAATCCCAACAAGAAAAAGGTGTGTATTTTGAGTTGTAAAGTTTCCTGGTGGATATTTATATTTTCTATGTTTAGGCGGAGCGGGAAAAGTTGCGAAGCATCATGGTACAGAATTATCATGAGAATAAAGTAAAGGAACACGAGAGGATTTTGGAGCGTCATAAAATCATTGAAGATAGGAAAGAATATATTGAACGGTTGAATACTGTTCGCGAGGAGGAAGAGCAAAAACGGTGAGAACAAATTATTACACAAACGAGAAAAAACTAAACGTATAAATAATTTTAGTTTGGAGGACATTCAGCGCCAACAGCTTATGGCTGAGCAGAAGCGTTTGGAAGAAGAAAGACAGGAACGTGAAAGACGGAGGCACCAAAACGAGATTGAGCAGATTAAACATAGACATCTGCAAGAAAAGCTGCAACAGGTAATTAGCACTATCAGCTACTTGCTAATTTCCCATATTGTTCTCAATACGGCCAGCTTGACAATTTAATTTCCGTTTTAGATCAGTCAGACTGGTCATGGACAGAAAATTCTGAAAAAAATGGATGAGGAAGACATAAAAAAACTGGATGCCGACCAAATTGCGGCAAAAGAAGCGGAAGAGCTGCAAAAAGAACGTCGCGAATTGCAAGCTAAATTGAAATCACATGAAAAGAAGGTAATTGTTTTAGTTAATCACCGTGTGGAAAATTAATACATAATGTTTATTTAAATAGGTGGATTACTTCGAACGTGCGAAACGTCTGGAAGAGATTCCCCTGCTTCAAGAAAGTTTAAAGGAAAGGCAATTACAAGATCAGACTTTCTGGGAGGAACAGGAGAAAGAACGTATTGCTGCTGCCATTGAAGGTCGCAAATTGGCCGTCGCCACAAGAGATCGATTGTGTCGCATGAAAGCTGACAGGGTGAGTGCTCCGATACCATAACTAAATCAAATACAGTTATTATTTTATGTACATGAATATATGAAACTTAAGTTGTTTATTTATCTTTTCAGGATGAATTCTTAAACAAACTGACATCAGAACGAAATGCATTGTATTCTGAAAAGTTGGGCGCATTTGAGAAGATGCTTGCTGAAGAAAGACGCAAGCGCTTGAACGAACGAAAAGAAAAACGTAAAGAGGCCAGAAGGGTCAAGTGGCTTAAGGAAAAGCAAGAAGCTGAGGAAGAGGAACGAAAACGGCAACAACAACTATTGTAAGACAAAACTTTATCTGGTTTATTTGATTAATATATTTTTCAAATTAATTTATTAGGGAGGAAAAGGAACGCGAAGCCAAGGAAGAAAAGGAGCGCCAGGAGCGTTTAGAAAAGGAGAGAATAGAGAAAGAGCAAAAGGAGCGAGAAGCCGCAGAGAAGCTTGAAAAGCTCGAAATGAATGATCGCGTAGCCGCTAAGCAGAAAGCTAGGGAGGAAGAACTAGGTATGCAAAATATTTAGATTTCTCACTGCCATACAATAACTAAATATGAACCATTGCTTATCTAGAACGTAAGTTACGCGAGCAAAACGAGAAAATGGACAGAGACGCTCCAGCTCCATGGAGACGTGGAGGAGGCGATAAAGAAATTAAGAGGTCTGAACCTCTGCGTCGAGGAGGTGGCGTAGGCGAAAGTAGAGACCGTGACGAGTCCAAGAAATTCGAGCCCTATGTTCCAAGTAAGTATTTTTTGGTTATTTGTGCTTGCGATAGGTGAGGAGGAAATTGTCTTCCACGACGCCCTAAAAGCCCGAAAAAATCACCAGTTATCAGCAATGGCATAGAACATATGTTTGTCATTCCGCGTATAAGCATTGCTATTGCATTATTTTCAAAATATGTATACGAACAAACCCATGCTAAAATAATTCTAGTAAATTGAGCCTAAAATAATCTACGAAAATTTAATTGCATGTACTTGAACAAAACTCATTCTTTCCTACAAATATTTTCGTACAGTTTGTTAGATTTTTTAATTAAATGGGTTCAATTTTTCTTTATTTTTTTTAGAAAGTCGTGCTGCCGGATCCGATAACTTCTGGCGGCGTTCAGCTGCAGAGAAGGAGCGCGAGCCGTCCCGAGAAAGAGACCGTCCCGACACTCGTGACCGCGCCGACACTCGTGACCGCGCCG